CTAAATAAAGAAAACTATGTAGGACTGGCTACTGAACTTGAAAAAAGGAACCAAACAAGATACGATGGAAGTGTACATGTCACTTGATCTGGCTAATGATCATGTAGCAGACTAAGCTGTCTCAACTTTATATAGAGAATAAAATCCCTACCTTACTGGCTTCCCCCCTTTGTCTGTCAAAAGCTTGATGTTTGAATAGAATCTCAGCTTTCATCATTATACCTTTCATTTAATTAACTTTAGAATACTACTTTTATGACTATTTTACAATAGAGTAACATCTTACGATTGGAAATTCTGGTTCTATTTGTTTTGCCGGGAGGAAGCCAGTAATGTAGGGATTTTATTCTCCATGTAAAGTAGAGATGGCTTAGTCTGCTATGTGATCATTAGCTGGATCAAGTGTTATGTCCATTTCCATCCCTATCTTGTTTGGTTTCTATTTTCAAGTTCAGTAGCCAGCCCTGCATAGCTTTTATATTTAGCGATGTATTTTGTTTCCTAATACTTGTTAGTTTACTTTTTTTATAAGATGGTGTATGTGGATTAGTAAGTTATAGAGTATATTCTAAAGCTTTATAAGTTTTCCATAGAATAATAATGAAATATGTAATCAAAGATTGGGAAGACTGTTTTGTTCTATCAAATGATGATAAAATTATAGTTACTGCTAGAACTAGGTAGGCGCTAGGCCTGTTGAAGAAAGATAATGATGAATGAAAATAAGAAATCAGTTTTGGCTCTTCACCTATTTTCAACTTTGGAACACACTGAATAGCTGAAATGCAGCACATACACCAGAGATAGAGTGACTATACCAGGTAGCTCTTCATATCTAGCTTCTGATGACCTGTATGTTTTTATTTTTTATTTACTCCTTCACTTCATATGTAACATAGGGGTTGGCTCCCTAAAGACACTAATTGTATATTGTTCAAAGCATTGAGTATTTTACTTGTTCCTGTCATAGAATATTCATTATTGGCTTGTAATTCCTGTTTCACCCTCTACTTAAGCTTTTTAAAGGAACACCACATTTCTGTAAGAAAGCTAACTTCAAGAGGTAATAACATTGTTTACACTAGAATTATTATTTTTTTTCCTTTTTTAAATTTTGCATATAATAATAATAGAATAGGTGGTCAAAGATCATGAAGACTGTTTTGCTCTATGAATTGATGATAAAATTATAGTTACAACTAGAACTAGGTAACCATTATGTCTGTTGAAGATAGATAATGATGATGAACGAAAATAAGAAATTTCGGTTTTGGCTATTCGCTAGTTTTCGACTTTGGGAAGCTTTGAATAGCTGAAAAGCAGCATATACACTGGAGATAAACCAATTATGCCAGGTAGATCTTCAATCTAGCTTCTGATGATCTGTAGAGAGGAAAATCCAATTGACTTTTGTATTGATGTAATGTGGGTGTCTGTGTCATCCCTACATAGAGTAATTTTATGTTTTTGCCTGTTATAAAACCCATTGTAAAGAAGCCACAGATCCACAAGCAATTTGGTGTATAAGGGTAATAGACACCATCATTAATTCTAAGGTTAACTTGCTTATGGTTTATGGTTTAAACACCAAAAGCTCGCAAAACATTTGGAAACCAATAGGCCTAACACTTGTGACAAAAAACAACATTTACTTGGGTAATGACTTATGGGAGACAAAGCATAGATATATATAATGTTGTTTCTACAAACCTCTGAGTTGGAATCTTAGAGGGACTAATCTATAAAAGTAGCTCAGGTAGAGAAGGTCTTGGAGGACTAATCTACAGTAGTAGTTCCAGTAGAGAAGGCCTTGGAGGGCTAATCTACACTAGTAGTTCCGGTAGAGAGTGTTTTGGAGGACTAATGTACAGGAGTAGTTCCAGTAGAGAAGGTCTTGGAGGACTAATCTACAGTAGTAGTTCCAGTAGAGAAGGTCTTGGAGGACTAATCTACAGGAGTAGTTCCAGTACAGAAGGTCTTGGATGACTAATGTACAGGAGTAGTTCCAGTACAGAAGGTCTTGGAGGACTAATCTACTGTAGTAGTTCCAGTAGAGAAGGTCTTGGAGGACTAATCTACAGTAGTAGTTCCAGTAGAGAAGGTCTTGGAGGACTAATCTACAGTAGTAGTTCCAGTAGAGAAGGTCTTGGAGGACTAATCTACAGTAGTAGTTCCAGTAGAGAAGGTCTTGGAGGACTAATCTACAGTAGTAGTTCCAGTAGAGAAGGTCTTGGAGGACTAATCTACAGCAGTAGTTCCAGTAGAGAAGGTCTTGGAGGACTAATCTAAAGAAATAGCTCAGTTAGAGAAGTTTTCACAAGACTAATTTACAAAAGGAGTTCAGGTAACTGAACAACTTTATAGTTTAGTCCTCAAGACTTCCTATACAAATGTCACTCTAAACTGGTCAGTTGTTACCCATTTTACATGTGTTCATCAAGAAAATAATGTTAAACTGAACAGCATCAGGAAAATAACATATATAACAGATTGAGAAAATTAGAAAAGCACTTGATGTTGGCTAAAGACTAAAATTACTGATTAGGGGTTCTAACCCTCAAAATTAAAACTTTTTTTGTAATATACAGCATTCTGTTTGAGTTTTGTTAACCTTGTACTTTTGGAGAAATTTTCTCAAGTAGAAACCTGTGAGATTCAATAACATACAAGACTGAGGATCAGCAGAATTCAATAAACACAATGCATGCAGGATTGAGTATCAATAACATTCCGTAAAAGACGATAAAAAATATAACTATATGTAGGATTGCTGATCAGTAGGTTAACGCTGTTCCATAATAAACAACCACTTTCAATGTTTTCAGTACTACATTCTTAATAGGTAACATTTTCAGGAAAAGGAAACTCTTTGTTCAAACAATTATGTATACATTATTAAGAAAAGAAACTAATGTATTGCTGGCCTGTGTTACTTAAGATCTTAAAAAGAACAGGTAAAATCTGAGACTTGAAAGGATTTGAACCTATGATTCTTATTACTGACAGATGCTTTAACAAATTCAACTAACTCATGGATTTTGATCCAGCCAGTCACCAGTGTTCACATTTTAAAATCAACTCGAAAATAATGTTTTTAATGATTTCAAGCATTTGTGTTAAAACGTACACGATTCTCTAGCCAAGATGAAGGTTACAGTGCCATACAATGTTATTTGTGTTTAGTATCTTAAGGAAATTCTTTTCTTTGTATCTCTATATGAATTAAGGTAAGATCCCTTGAACTCAGCCACTACTATACATCTGTATATATTTTGTTACCCATGAATCCTACATGGTTAAGGTAAAACAAACAAAATGACTTTTCAACCTTACCAACCATGTAATTTCAAAACTCTGTGAGGAAAAGGCAAGTGGTGGTTAGGGGTTGTAAGTTCAAATCCCATCACCCAACATGTTTGCCCTTTTAGCTGTGGTAATGATATAATGTTAAGGTTTATCCCAGTATTTGTTGATAGAATACACATTCACCCTTCCATATTTTCTTTGTCACAATAATATG